TGTGTTTTATTAATATGCATTCTCTATAAATTAGAGGCTTAGTACACAAAGAAGAATCCTAATGCTCTTGCTATTTTTCATTGCCACAGGTAGAACTGAATAATTCATAACAATTAATTTATTTCACTGATTTAGCCTTTTGGGGCAGGGGGGAGGTAGGGGGGAAGTTGAGCACGAGTAGTCTGCAGGTAATCTTTTCCATGTTTATTTACGATAAATAACTTACCAGAGACATTTGAAGACTAATTCTTAGTTGTGGGGATTTTTTTTTTTTGTATTTTAAATTGGAGAAATTTAGAGGAATATGGGCACAAGTGCAAGCAACCAGCCAATCAGTACAAGTACCCCAATGAATTTTAAATTGTAAAAAATGCCCAGCTAATTGCAAATACAACACATACAGGGTCAGGCTCATGTTGATTTGTATTGATTGGTGCAATGCTGGTTACATTGCATATTTCTGCTCCTCATTTAATTGATTCTAGTACTTCAGGACCAAGATTTCTTACAAATATTTATGTGGGCAGAATTCATTGTCTGTATTCAGTCCCTAATTCACAGGTAAAGTGCTGCCCTTTTGCAACCAAGGGAAGTTTTACCCTTCATTCTGAAATATTCAGGATTCTACCTTCTGATGGCAACATTCCTGAAAATCCTTTTTAGACCAAGCAATAACTCATCCAACATGAATGACACTTTATATTTGTGCAAAGTTTCAGAATATCTATATGCAGATTTTAAATTTTTTTATTTTTTTAGTCAGTTGGAGATGGAGCTGTAAATACGAGACAAGACGTTGCAGCACAAAGATCACTTGCCAATCCTGCAGCTCAGGGAGGCTGCAGCCCTGTCTCACACTCATATCCTGAGCAGGTAATATCCAGAAATACACGAGGAGGAGGAGGAGGAGGTGGAGGCTGCATGATTACTGCCTCTGCCTTTCTCTGGTTCTTACAACACACTCACAGCAGTGAGACCTGCATAGCACGCCATAAATCATTGCCTCATTATGCTCCTTCTGGAGGTTTGTTTAGGGCACCTATTCTAGTACTGGCTGCAGCAGATTATTTGCTCTTCCCAGAAATTCCTCTTTGGTTTGATTTGCACACAAGGAAAAAATTTCCGTCTTATTTTTGAAATAATTTCTTAGTGTGCAGAACAATTTACATTGCAGAACTGCCTAAGAAAGCAATTTCAGCAATGTCTGGAGGGGATTTTAATTTGTAGGTGGGTGATTTTGTTGAGAACAGGCAAAGGTTAAAGAAGTTTTTTGTGTTTTTGTGACTTGTCAATATGAAGTATTAATAAATGAAACAGAGGGTCTTCCTCCCCTCCTTTCTTCCTTCCTCCCTTCTTGTCTGCCTTCCTTTTTTGCTTTCCTTCTTCCCTTCTTTCTTTCTTCTGTACATAAAAGCTGTTGATCCTTTACCTAGCCAGATTTTGTTGAATTATTGTAAAAGAAGCCTAAGTGTTGAATTATTGTAAAAGAAGCCTAAGTCCCTCATTAAAAAAAACATTGCAAGGTCTTCATTCACTTTTTCTGTATGTCTTTATCCAGCCCTAGTTCACAGCTGGTGCAAGAGGGCACCGGACTGATTGACAGAATAGGGATTTTGACACTTGGTTTTGACTTAAGGAGACACATTGTCCTAATAAAAGCTGTGTATTAGTTGGCCTAATTTATTGAAGAGAAGCAGTATTGCTGATTTTGATAAAACAGTATTTATTTAGCCTTGCACCAAGTAAATGCTGGAATAACCTAGGTTGTACCTGCAATGGATTGGAAGGTCCAGAGCTGAGACTTTGGAGAGCAGGTGGGTACACTGCAACACGGCTGGGTTTTGCTGCAGTGACGATGTGATCTAGGATCTGATCCAGGCTCCTCAGAAATCAATGGAAATTCTACCCTTGACTTTACTGGGCTTTGGATCCTGCTCCAGTTGTACCAGGATGAAAATGAAATTGCTCCAGCTTAGATCTAGGATCTGATCCAGGCTCCTCAGAAATCAATGGAAATTCTACACTTGACTTTACTGGGCTTTGGATCCAAAATGAAATTGCTCCAGCTTGGGGGATGAATTTTCTGGCTTGATAGATTCAGTGTTTGAAATTGAGGGGTGTGTTTGAGTAAGGGGTCCTGACTTGAAGTTTGAGTGTTTTTGACGCTAGCCTTGCCATGATCCTCCCTCCTAGTCACAGTTCCCAGAAACACAATAGATTTCTGTTTTGTGGCCACTCACAGACATCCCAGATGAACAGCAGCATTTCATAGGTGATTGTAATGTGAAACTCAAAATCGTTGTAAGCTTGCTCAGAATGTGACCTGCCTTCACATAAAACTCCCCAAGCTTTCTGAACCTCACAGCAAAGCTGGAAGTGTTCACAGCCATAAAGAAACACAAAGCTAAGTCACTTTGGTGTGTTTTGAGGTTTCACTGCACATCCTCCTGCACCACTGTATCTCAGAGTCCTGGGTACAATTCTCATTTGATCTTAAACTCTTACAAAGAGCCTAGGAATAGAAGATGTGCTGAGGTAAGGGTCAGAAAAGACTTTTTCTAACACCCACTGCAACCTGAGTTTCCCACAAACAATCAGGACTCAGCGAGAATTGTACCCAACTTTTTTTGATGGAAGTGCAGTGGTGACCTTCTAGATTGATTAAAGATGTGACATTGATTGACTTTGAAGGGAGCCACATCCACCCTTCTTCTGCCAAAAAGGCAGTGGCTGCAATGTGAAGCCTCAAGAATGGGGCATTGCTTTTCCAAGTACATGGAAGACATCCAAGGGTAACAGGATAATGCAGATAATGGGATAGGGTTTCTCCCCTCCTCTCCCTCAAATACCATATAGCTAGATTTTTGGCTATCCAGCCTCATGCCTTAGAAGACTTCTCTCTTATAGCTACTTAAAAGACGAAATAGCTGAGGAAATGAGCTCTTTTTGCAGGTTATTTAGGATGTTTGGTGGTTGGGAATGTCAAAAAGGACTGGTGATGTTGACTCTGCAGGAATCTTTAATGGTGGTGGGGGTATGATGCTGTGAGGACCAGTGTCAGTGGAAGGGATGGTGTGGTGGGAGAAAGCTTTATTCCTCAGGCCAACTCACCCCTGAGGATTGTTCACACTGTCACTCTGGGGTGTCAAGTCTGAGAGGTGCTAAAATTGCCCTATTTGCCAAAGATATAAAGTATCTTAACAATATCTGGTCTCTTTAAGGCACCTTGAGTTGGCACGGAGGAATATTGGCCTCCAAAATTACCACTTTTGAAAATCTAGGCCACTGAACCTGATATGAACTATCAGAAAGCAGAGACAAGGGAGCACTTATGTTGGAGAATGTACAGTGGCTTGAAAACTACAAATCAAAATAATTCACCCTTTTATGTGTAAATCTCCTTCTCTTTGATACACAAATTGAAAAGCTGTCTGGTTTCCTTGTAGTTTCCATAAGCAAGCAGTGTGTGTCTGCACCCTCTAGAATGCGATTTAAGTGTTATTTAAAGTGCAGACCTGTTAAAGTCAAGCAAGCTGATCTGTATGCTAGAACTGAGCCCACCAAACCTTACACCTAAAACCAGCAGGGAAGGGGGTCTCAAGTGCCACGGCTCCCTCGTGACAAGGGCATGGAGTGACAAACAGTGAAGCACCAAAAGATCAAAACACTTTTTCAGGCACAGCAATAAAATCAGAGACAGAAAAACACCAGGTCCTGGTGCCGGTGTCTGCTCTTCCAAAGCAGCCTTTGTCAGGTTTGACACAGCCAGACCATGTCAAGGGGATGCAGGCAGGAGCTGCACACTGGCAGTAAATAAACATCAGCAAATGAACCTCCTGTGTGGTGCATTTCTGAGCTGGGAGAAAGGCTGGAGAGCCACTGCATGAAGCCCATGTGGAAGGGATTACTGGGACACGCTGAATTTACCAGGAGTTTATTGGCAAATTTCAGTGGAAGCATGGAAAAGACAGTGTGGTGTGTTTTGCTCATATTCCAGAGTTGTTTTCCCTGGTTGAGCACCTCAGTGCAGGTCCTGTGGAAGTCAATAGCTCTCTTGCCGTTCAGAAGGATTATGCCCCTAAATAGCTTCTTTAGGAAGTGTACTTTGCTTGGTGATAACACAAAGCAGAGGGTGGATGATTAACACCAATTAGGATTATTTACAAGAACCTAGAAAACAATAGGTCCATAAATCATTGTCTTATCAATTGTAGTTCCTCCTGAGTAATTCAGTCATCATTGGGCACACTGTGTTTGTTAAGTACAGATCACACTGATGTTAGCTAAAGTGTGTGCAAATGTTGAAGGTACAATATGACCTAAAATAGCAGCATGCTACAAAAAAAACAAAACAAACAAAAAAAAAAAAAACTGTTTTCAATGTTTTTATGTTCTAAATCCCCAACAGTTTACCCCCAGGTATATTGAGTGAATTTAAAGGAACTGACAGTAGCCTTGTTTCTCTTGGGTTATGCTTCAGCTCTGTCTACACTTGTGTCTCCCTTTGGGGTGGTTTTGCAGTAATCTGGCTCTCTCCATTTGTTGGGCACTGGTCCAGCTGCAGAACAGCTTCAATGCACATATATTCCTTCCAGAGGAGAGCCAGTGGGGAGTTCTCTCCAAAAGCATGCCAGGGCTTGGTGGGACACACTGCTCTGATCCAAGGGGCAGCCACACCACCACAAAGTCCTTCAGGGTGTCTGTCACCCTGCTTTGCAAGAGGAAGGAAGTCAAACTTCCCAGAGCTCCAATACCAGCCTGGTATTGGAGTGGGTCTTGTGGTTTAGGGAGGGTCATCTGCTTTGTGTGGCACCCTTTTTGTGGTGACTGGCAACTCTTGAACCACTACTTCTCTTTCTTCCATCAAGGCTTCTCCTGGCTCATTTTCCTTTTTGTTTAGTAACTGCCCAGTCTTCTGTAGCTGTTCCTCCTTGCTGCTGATCTTTTTTACTTCTACTTTTATCACTTTTTGTGATCCCTTTTCCAATTTCCAACCTTAGTCTCCCAGAAGACCCGGAGTGGTGATGCCTGGATGCAGAGGAGATCACACTGCTTATAGATCTGCACCATGAGGAGGCCAAAAGTTTCTGCAGCAGCAGGAGGTAAGCCAGGACTGCTGGTGGGTGTAAGGAGCAGAGAGCAAAGCCACGTGAGTTTGAGAAGAAGGCAGCAGCACCCCTGAGGATGGAGACTTTGGGGCAGTGTCACGGTCCTGTACAGAAAACTTGAAGAGACACTGAAAAATTCAGGTGGGAACACATCACCCAACCAGCTGCTTGTGTGGTTTGGTCCATGGACCTTTGGGGTTTGCACACCAGAGACTGAAAACTCTTGACTTACCCTAAATTTCCTCTTTATGGACTTCTGATGTCATAGGAATGGCACAACAAAATCCAATATATCTTCTTCACCATAGTGTTTCCAGCCTGCTAACTTTCCCAGGACTACTTTCTGCTCAAATTACTGGAACTTAATTACATGAGGTTTAATTTCAGTTGCTTGGCCAGCTTTAAAAATATGTATTCAAATTTGAACCACAAGGACAGAATTTTGGGAGCCTCTTTGTCCTCTCACTTTGTGTTAATTTAAATGAGGAAACTGTGCCTGTGAATCTCTGCTTTACTTCACCTATTCCAAGTCAGTCTCAGCTCTGGAGAGACATCCCTGACTCCCAGCAGTTTAAGGGAGAGCACAAACAATCCCTTATGTTATACTTTATGTTTTTGATACTGTGCAAACAGTAGATGTTTGTCTCCTGCTTATGAATTTTCATGTAAATAAAATGTATTGAGACCAGAGATGGAGTTACACTGATTTTGCACCAGATAATGTATTGACATTTTACAAGAAAGTGTTGTATTATCCATCCATTTCACAAGTAGATCTTACAATGTTTACTTATAACAAAAAAAACCCAAAAAACAAAAAACAAAAAACAACAACAAAAAACTGGAAGGAGAATCAAGGAAGGGACATGGAAAGAGAATGCAAAAGGACATGGATGAGAAGTGGTAGAGTTGGAGGATAACAGCATCTATCAAGGCATTATCTGAGAATTCCTATGATTAGGACTTATCTTTCTGGCTTCATTATTTCATTATAATCTGCTGTTTACCTGATAAGTAATAAATGGCCTCCAAATTTTATTGCATTTGTTCACTTTCTTCAGATTTTGCACCAGTTTGTTCCCCTCTTAAGCTCTTATTTCTCTTAAGGAATGAAGATTTTATGGTTTTACTGGGGTTGACTTGTTCCTCTGTATTTCAGTATTGTTATTTTGCTAACAAGGGTCCCACATCAATTCCTTGAATAACCCTTCCATCTATCACATTGGGATGATCAAGGATACATTACAGCTGATGTCCAAACACTGTTTTTACAGTGTACCTGGGGTTGGGCACCCACCTCCAACTCAGCAGATATAAAACCCTCCAAAAAGCCAACAAAAGAAGGCTTTTTTTAAACACTCCAACCCGCTAGTGGATTATCTTTAATGGGTTGGCAGCATGCCCCTTCCTTCCTCTGCAGGAATGCTGGCCTGGCTCTGCAGCCCTGGGTTTGGGTTTTTGGTTGTTTTATTTTTTTTTTCTGTGTTACAGCATACAGAAGAAATAAAGTGTGTGTCTGATTTGTAATAGTTCATGATGTCTTTTTTTCCTGGGATTAATTTATTTACTTGCCAGGAGACAAATGTTGCGACCAGCCCTCCTCTTTGGGGAGTGACCCTTGTCAGCATGGCCCTGCAGGAGAGGGCTCCTTGCATGGGCTGGCTGCTGTTTCTGGGAGCTCACAGACACACCTTCAAAGGTTGAGGGTTCAGCTTCTTCTGCGTGAGAGAGGAGAGGAAATGACCTTCACCCAGCTGAGCAGGGAACAACAGGAAACCCTCACGGTCCCGCCATTTCCCACCCCCAGGATCCGGAGCTCAGGGACCTTTTTGACAAACTGTCAGTGTTTTTGTCAGGGTTTAGCTGCTGCAAATATATTACCAAAGTATGTTGATGATTCATGGGGAAATGGTGTATGCTGATTTAAGTGATGGACTAGCCATTCTGTAATGGATTTGAGAATTCCCGATCTGATTGTACTTAGTTTTATCAAGCAGGAAGCTGGCAGGCTGTGTTTTAATCAACTGATAGCATCTCTTGGCAATTGGCATCCAGCTAGTGGACAGAGTACTTCTCAAAGACCAGCTCACTAAGTTACAAACAGTCACAGCCACTCAGATCTCTCAGCTTTATCTCCTATTTTTTCTGTTCAGCCTGTTTCTTTTCCAAATGAAACTTTCAGATGGAAGTGCAGGAAGATGAAACATATCTGCTTCTCTTTCACTGATGTTTTAGGGGGAATGGATGAGGCAGAATGCATTTGCTTCATCCTCCAGAAAGCTGTGCTGAAACAAGCTCCTAGATGTAGCATAATATCCCAGAACAAGACAAGTTCTAGGATTTGGTTTTGACACAGGTGTTTGGAGTGCTCACATTGCATAAGTGTAGTAAATCTACAATATGAGGCAACACCAGGTAAGACATGGCCTTTTCCCCTTTGATTAGGCCATGACTCATTATTCCATGACTCATTATCTACTGTGTCACCAAAGACATACCCAGTGTTCTGACCTGTACCAGCAGACATCAAGAATGGTTCCCTTCCCTGATAAAACTCACCAGTCTATTCATTACTTCTGGGAGACACCAGCTCCTGCAGAGCATCTTCACTGCACAAACCCTCAGATGCCACAGCTACCTTAAATAATTCCCTTCTCAGGATTCTTGTTTTGTCACACTTATTGAGCTGTGGAGCCATCCACACTCGTGGAGCTGTGCTCAAGCACAGCATCAGACCTGAGGAGCTGGTTTGTTGTGCCTGGCTCCTGTGGAGTAGTTACTGTACTTAGCAACCCACCTCCAACATAAATATATCTGCTACTCTGAAGAGCAGGCTTTGAAAAGCACCAGAAGGGATCACTCCTCCATAAAGATTTTTTCCAACACTGCAGAGCTGTTGGGACTTTCAGAGAGAAATTCTTCTCCCAGTTAAGCATCCCAGCCACCAGAGGGGTGAAGATTTCACCACAGGCTGACAAAGCTCTGGTGCAACCTTTTTCAATGGGCCATGAACCCCCATTTAAAGTCCTGTCTGAGTTGTTCTTGAGCCATGCAGGCATGGAGGGAGCTGGAGAGCAGCCATCTATGCAGGTGGGATTTGGGAGCCATCCGTGATGTCTTTACACAGGGGTCCCACAGCACCGTGTGGAAAAACAGCTCTGAGAGCTGAGTGCTAAAACCACATGGGTTTGAAACTGCTTAAACATTTGGAACTCTCAGGAGAGGCTGATGATTGAAAGGCTGTAAAACAATCATGCTCCCAAAAAGTAATAAAAATAAAAGTGAGGTGTAAGGAACAGAGAGGAGTGATTCATCGGGAAATTGTGCTCTTGAAATTGTGTGACAAATCCTGGGTGAGGGAGGAGCTGTGTGGAAGCATTTAAGGGCCAGATCCTGGCTTGTCCAGAGGAGTTCAAGATCCAGTGAAGATTAACAATGGACCTGTAGCTGAAAGGAAAAATTTAACTTCCATTTTAGATATTTTCTGTTGACCACTACATGAAAATGAGAGAAATCAGACCCCTATTTTCGTGTCATGTCCCATGAGGGTTTCAGCAGACAATGGCCCCCACTGCAAGAAATGAAATTTCCAATACCAGAACCACCAAAAGGACAAGTGAAAACAAGGCTGAAAAAAGTTTTCTCTCTTTAGGGTGGAAGTATACAAATTCCACAGGGTCATTTTCTGTGTAAACGTTCCTATTTGTATGTTTTTCAGATTAAAACAAAAAAGTATCTTCCAAACATATTCAATAAGTCAATTTTAAAGCAAGTTAATTAATGTATCTAAGCTTTATCACAGAGCATAAGTGGAAAAAATCCCCCAGCCAAATGGGAAGAGTCTAATCTTGATTTTCTCACTCTTTGAGTTCATTTATTACAATGTTTGCTCACTTTTATAAAAGCCATGCTCATGTAATAATCTAATTTCTGAGAGCATCTCCAGGGACAGGAGATCACATTACAATATCTCACATTATGTGTCATTCAGGCAGTATCTTCCAAATCATAAAACCTAAGGAAAGGGAATGATACTTGAATAGCAGATTCCTCCTCCTTTTCTTTTTCCTTTTCTGCACATTTTTTTTTTCCATCCCAATGCTCTCTTCCTTATATTGTCTAACCTCATGCACCCAGGCTGCTCATCTCCATTCTGCAGAGAAACAGGCTGTGGTGCACATCTCTCCTTGCTCTACCTGACCACCTCATCCTGTCTCATACTGTCTTTCCTATAGTTTGGAAATTTTCCTTCTGTTCTGGGCTTTCATTTGTGTCACCTTACTGCCTGTGTTTTGTGCCTATGGGTTCTGCTTGTTTGAACTGATGAACTGGAGCAGAGAACTGGCCCTGCTGATAAAAATCTGAAAAAAGCCTAAGTTTCAGATCAATAATTCCCCTGGTCTGAATAATTTCATTTCTAGCCAAAACTGTCCTAACAGTGAGACAGGACGTGTGTAGCTGCCCCTGGTGCCACCTCACAGACCCATTGTTCTTCCATCTTCATTTCTTTCAGCACCTTCAGGGATCTTGATAAAGACCTCAAGGGAGGCTTATATGGTCTTAAAACATTTCATTGATCCATTCATGTGCACGCAGTCCAGGGCTTCCATTTTTAAGATTCCTTCCCTATTATGGAAACTGGCTAATTGCAATTGAAACCTGTTAGGAACCTGCTTAAGACACCAGTGTTGTGTAGCAAAGCACTTGCAGCTTGCCCAAATCTCAGTGTATAAAGCTATGGATTCCTTGGGATGAAAATACGTTTTCTAGGAGATGATTCTGCTGTTCTAGATATTATTTTATCATTCAAATCTAAGGTCACAACCTCAATCCTAGCTCATCTTGTTGACCACACAGACCATAATCAATTTTATTTCTTGTGATACATCCATTCCAAACTACCATTGCCCATTTCTTCATGTAGAAGTTGCGTACCAAATTATCTGGTCTGATAAACACCAGGTTACTGTGCCTGCTAGTGCACTTACAACACAACTTTGCAATGGGAGAATAATCCTGGCCTTTTTAAACAAAGAGGCAAGCAGAAAAAACACACAACATCAGAATTAAACCAGTTCTGACAATTTTTCATTTCCATTTATTCAGAAAAAAGTCATAATTGAGACTTAAGGAAAAAAAGAAAAGCCCTCCATGCCTTTAAGTGTAAAATCCATTTTAGTAGCAGGAAGCTGTTATATGGTTAGAGCAGTTATTTTTATTGTCTGTCTGGGTATAGTTTTTAACTGCAGGCACAGAATAAATCAATAGTGTCATAAAGCTACTCTCACCCTCTGCCCTTTCTAAAGGGACATTGTTCAGTGTCTGTGCTGGATGTGACACAGACTGTGCTTTGATGCACAGAATTATGCCTCCACTAATGTTCTGGGGGAAAGATCTCTGTGACACATATTTACCTGTATCTCTTTATCCATATCATCTCAGAGTCATCAGATTAAAAGCAAAATGAAACACAGACATGCACACAAAAATGCGCAGAAGTTTTTCATCAGAAGAAAGGGGATTTTTCTGGTTATTCTCTTGCAAATGATAGTGTCAATTAATTTGTGCATTCATAAATCCTCTCAGGTAGTGTATTTGCTAGACTGTCTCAGAAAACATGCAGTGATTCATAGGACAATCCACACAACTTAAACCTGACCCGAACCTGCTCTTTAATACAGCAAGGAAGGATGGAGCAAGATCTGCCTGTATGAAGCTGGTGCTAGATAAAATTGCCCAGAAAGTGTGCCTTTTTAATAGCAAGAGTAGTTAATGGCTGGAACATTTGGCTTAGGAATGTGGTGGATTGAGCATTGCTTTCAGTCTCTAAATCAAGAGTGAGTGTCTTTCTAAAGCTATGCAATAGCTTCAGCAGAAG